GGCTCACTGAAACCTCTGCCTCTTGGATTCAGGTGGTTCTCCTGCCTCAAACTCCCGAGTAGCTGGTACTATAGGTGCCTGCCACCCCACCTTGCTAATTTTTGTATTTTTAGTAGAGACGAATTTCACCATGTTGGCCAGGCTGGTCTTGAACTCCCGACCTCAAGTGATCTACCTGCCTTGGCCTCCCAGGGTGCTGGGATTACATGAGTTAGCCACTGCATCCGGCCGACATTCTTTTTTATTTTTTTAAAGTTATTTATTTTTATTTATTTAAAAAAATTTTTTTTTTGAAACAGAGTCTCACTCTGTCACCCAGGCTAGAGTGCAGTGGTGCAATCTCAGCTCACTGCAACCTCTGCCTCATGGATTCAAGCGATTCTTCTGCCTCAGTCTCCTGAGTAGCTGGAATTACAGGTGTGCACCACCATGCCTGGCTAATTTTTGTATTTTTAGTAGAGACAGGGTTTTGCCATGCTGGCCAGGCTGGTCTCAAACTCCTGACCTCAAGTGATCTGCTGGCCGCCTTGGCCTCCCAGAGTGCTGGGATTATAGGCATAAGCCACTTGGCCTGGCCTGCTTTCTTTTAAAAACAATTTATTTTATAACTATAAACTTCACTGTCTGATCCTAGTTAAGCCTCTATTAACACACATATGAAGGGTTATCTGAGAATAAAGATCATGGGTTAATCTATCTACTGAGCATGTAGAATAAATCCTGCCATTAATTTTGTTAAGGCAATCAGCGACTTTCTGAGCCATCAGACAGAATGTGTTTAGTTCAGTGCTGTCCTCTGAGCCTCAGGCTCACATGTCCAGATTTTGCCTCACTGCCTCATGTGGATGTCCTACAGCCCCCCAAGCCTACCTGCTTCACAGGTTGGACGGATGGTCATCTGTGTGTGCTTCTATCCTTTCTTCTGATACAGACTCTGCCCCTTTAGGTGCAGTGACTGGTTCAAGAAGTGAGTTTGTGAACCAAGCCAGAACAATCAGAATTCTTCTTCCCTGAGACCACTAAAACTAGATCGTGGAGAGAGATTCTCTTCCCTTACTTGTGGCTGAGCGGGAGGAATGAGTCCAACAGGCCCTCTGTTCCTCCATGTGAAGAAAGTCTGTTTAGGAGAGAACGAAGCCAACAGGCACTGGGAAGCACAGATTTGAAATGAGAGAAACAGAGGGCTCTGCCAGTGGGATGGCTCCTGGATCTTGTCATTCCCAAGGCTTCACACTTATCTTTTCCTTGGTTTTCTCAATCTTCCTCTTATTCATTTTTTTTTTTTTTTTTGAGACAGAGTCTCACTCTGTCACCCAGGCTGGAGTACAATGGTGCCATCATGGCTTACTGCAACCTTCACCTCCTGGATTCAAGGGATACTCCTGCCTCAGCCTCCCAAGTGGCTGGGATTACAGGCATGCACCACCACACTTGGCTAATTCTTGTATTTTTAGTAGATGGTGTTTCACCATGTTGGCCAGGCTGATCTCAAACTCCTGACTTCAAGTGATCCACCCGCCTAGACCTCCCAAAGTGCTGGGATTACAGGCATGAGCCACTGTGCCTGGCCCTCCCTTTATTCTTGACCTTGTTTAAATTGGGTTTCTGTCACTTGCAACCAAAAGAATCTCAACAGTGTCAATACTGTGTCAATGACAGTGTAATACAGTGTCAATGCTGAATTCAGGATGTGACATTCTGTCACCCATGCTTCAATAAGTAGTAAAACAATAAGATGTGGTTCCTATTTGTAATGGCACAGCTCTTTCAAGGTCTGATTCGGGTGCTAAAAATCGAACGTGTTATGGAAAGTTTCCCTTTACTTTTCAGTAATTCCTAGAAACAGATTACCTTGAAAAAGAATGAGTTCAATTTTGTTAAACATAGTACTCTCAGAAGGCTCTTCATTACTAAAAAGAAAAAAAATGCTATCACAGGATTTTACCCTGCACTTATTTGAAAACAAATGATATAAAAGGAAAGACAGCAACTTTTTTAGAACTGAAGCCATTTAGAGCAGAACAGAAATAAACTGAAATATTTGACCACCAAGTAGCTAAGTAAACAAACCTTTATGAAAATGTAATGCACACCCTGGTCTTCAGCTTATTATTTGCCTGGTAAATTCCCTCTGAATGCAAAACATTTATGTTATTCATATATCCTTGTCTAGTTAAACAAGGTGATTAAATTTCTATTGAGAAGGGCTTCAGATAATCTGCCACCCATGCTATCCTATCTGAACATGCAAGCTAAATAAATGCAGAATGCTTATAATTGTAACTATAATTTCAAGACAAAGTCCACATACCTTCTGCCTGCATCTCTTCCATGGAGGAATTCCGGGGCTGCCACTGACTGAATTCTCCATCCTCCTAGCCAACCTGCTTCTCCTCTTGTATTCTTTCTTTCAGTGAATTGTAGGCACCACCCAGTCATTGAAACTAAAAATCTGGGAGCATCCTATTGCCTTCTCCCATATTGCTCTGACAGCCAATAATTACTGTCCATGTACTTCCTGAACCTGTCTTAAATCTGTTTTGTCCTCTCATCCTCAGCACTCCTGCCTTTAAACATCTCTTCTCTACATCATCTCACCAGCTTCCTAATTGATCTTCTTGTCTCCATTTTGCTCTCTATCATCCATTCCCATCCAGGATCTCTTCAAAAATAAATCTGACCATCTACTCTTCCTGCATAACTTATAAATGTCTTCTCATTATCCCTCAACAGAGCCCAAACCAACCTGCATTGACAAGCCCCATATGCCAGGCTGCTGTGTCTCTCCATACTCATTTCTCAACCGAGAGTGCTACCTTCTCGTGATGCGCCATTGTCCTGGCCACAGCAGGCCAGTGTTCCCACCTTGCTATTTCCACAACACTCCTGTATTTTCACATTATTTAAAAATTGTCTGTTAGGCCAGGCACAGTGGCTCACGCCTATAATCCCAGCACTTTGGGAGGCTGAGGTGGGTGGATCACGA